AATATATGCAGTGTATTATTTGTTGAAACTGTACTTCCAATTTGATTTGAAACTGTCTCATTGCTATCTGTTTATCAATAAAACTTTGAAAAAAAAAAACACTATATATTCCATTGTTTTGCCACTGCCAGCTTTAAGTTACACCAATATCCTCTTTTTATTACGTATTCAGGAGGTGAAGAGCAGCCTTGGCAACATAGTGAGACTGAGTCACAAAACAACGAAAGCCCTAGGAGAACACCCTTAAAAAGAGAACTCTAACTGCCCTCTCGTCTCCATTCACTAGTAAGAATTTAGAAACTACTACCATGTATGAAAAGTTGTGCACAGTATGCCCTTCACTTGCAGGAAGCTGTTCCTTCTTGCGTGCGTGCGTGCGTGCGTGCGTTTCCTACTTGCTTTGTCCCTTCCTGTGAACTGCTTCCTTTCTCGGAGTAAGGCCTTCTCTCAGTGCTTTCATCTTCTAAATACAACTAACTGTCCCTATTACTGTCTTCACCAGATTTGGGACTCAAACTTCCACAAGTATTTTTCTAACTATGGGGTGTTCTGATGTTTCGTTTTGGTACCAGGCATCAAACTCAGGACCTTGCCAGGCAGGTGCTGTGCCACACTGAACTATATTCCCAACTCTCACCTCAAGTTCTGATACACATTTGTGTATTACCTATGAGCATAGTTTTCAAACTGTACACGATCAGAATTACCTAAAAAAGTTAGAAATACACATGTTGCTGGGCTGTGGAGTTTGCAATTTTAACAAGTTCCAGATGATGCTCATGCTGCCAGTCCAACTATCACACTTTTAGATTCACTTTGTGAATCTGGTGAAAGTTACAAAGCAATGCACCCACATAAAATCTGGCATGCAAATTAAAAACGTGTCAGGTGTTGGGCCTGTAATCCCAGCACTCAGGAGGCTGAGGTAAGAGGACTGCATGAGTAAGAGGCCATTCTGGGTTACATAGTAAGCTCAAGGCCAGCCTGAACTACAGTGAGACACTGTCTCAAAACAAAGTTAATCAATGCTCAACTATAGTTACTTGCTGTTCCACATTTCACTCTAACAAGTATTTATCGTATCATGTTTTCTGGCTAAATAGTAGGAAATAATGAAATTCTGTGTAACTTCTTAAGAAGGAGGTAGCATTGCCTGGTACTGAAACTCAGTTCTGTCTAACAGGTTACCCTTTCAGTCTCAAAAGGGTCTCTCCCAAGCTTATGATAATTTATCTATACTTTCAGACAAGCTGTCAAATTGTCAAAAACAAAAGACTCAGTGTTCAGTATTTAAATTTTCTCTCTTTTTTAATGTATTTGGTACAGGGTCTCACTATGCAGCTCCGACTCATAGTGATCCTCCTGTTTTCAGCCTTCCCAGTGCTGGGACTACCAAGCCTGGCCTCAGTTGCTGGCTCAGTGCACCCAAGAGCGGGGCCAGTGCAGCATGTGGTGCTGGGGATCAAAACTGATGCCTGCGCTTGCCTACGCAGGCGCTTAGTCCACTGAGCCATCTCACCAGACTCACTGTTTAATACTTGAAAAGCTCTTAAAAGTGACTTAAATCCTCAGGTGAGGAAAAAAAAGAACATAAATGCTATGTAGATCTAAGACACAACATAACTGATATCCTGATTCTGCCTTTCCTAATGATGTGAGTATTGAGTTTTCATTTCTTCATTTAGAATTGAGAATCACGGAAACAATCTTTTTTCCCTTCCAAGCAAAGGTTACATGAACTCACTATAATGAGTAAGAGATAGCGGTTTTATTATTTAAAACTAATGGACTTAATTTATAGTAAGGAATTTAAATGTTGGATAAAAATTAAATGTATAAATTTTAAAAAAGAACTAAGTAATTTGTAACATGCCTTAAAATCCATACAATATTTTGTTTATGAACCTAATTGGCAAGTATGTTACTATTCATTCACATGTGTACCAGAAGTATACTAAGCAGTAATTCATTCTTCAACTTAATATAAATTTCTTTGAAAGGAGCCTTACTGTCCTACCTTTCCCTTCTCTACTGCCTTCCCTCTATAGCAAATGTTTCCAATTTCTGGAATGCATTTTGCCTTCAAATAATGAAAACTTTAAAATAGAAGTTTTGTCATTTATAAACATTAATGATTTGTTTATTTTATATGTGGCCTAAGACAATTCCTCCTTAATTCAAAAAGGGGGAGGGGAGGTAAAACAACCAGCAAGGAGGTAAAAGCTCAGCAGGCTCAAAGTTGGACATGCCCTGCTCTACAGTGTTTAACAATATACCAACATCCACTTAAAAAAAAATGTAAATATGAAAAAGTTATAAATTATTCTCTTTTCCCGAAACGGACTCATGTGAAACACATATTGTCAATACAGAAAAAATCCTTTTGAAAAAGTTTTCCTGTGTGTTCCTCAACAGCCAAAATCCATTAAATTCATCTTTAAGATATTTGGCATGATCTCTCAGGCTTGGTTATTAAAAGCTCAATTCTACATGTTCTAGCTTAAAAATCTATTCCTTTCTTAATCTATAATCCTATCAGGTTATTACAGGAACTCTTAAATTGAGTGTGAATGTGTGAACATAAGAAGTCTATCAGGGCGGACCAAACAGCTCAACAGATGAAAGGACTTGCACGCAGGCAAAGAGGCCAGAGGTTCAATCCCCAGGCCTGCCACGCTGGCCCTGCCCCTGGAATGTGCTGACACAGTGACTGAGACTGGGCATGGTGGCATATGCCTATAATCTCAGCTCTTGAGAGGCTGTAAACAGGTGGATCACTCTGAGTCCGATCTAGTAGTGAGACCCTGAATACCCTTTAAACCCTTCCCTAAAATACCAAAAAAAA